CCGCCATCCCCTGTCACCCTCGACACACCCGCCATCCCCTGTCACCCTCGACACACCCGCCATCCCTGTCACCCTCGACACACCCGCCATCCCTGTCACCCTCGACACACCGCCATCCCGTCACCCTCGACACACCCGCATCCCTGTCACGCTCGACACACCCGCCATCCCCTGTCACGCTCGACACACCCGCCATCCCGTCACCCTCGACACACCCGCCATCCCTGTCACCTCGACACACCGCCATCCCCTGTAACGCTCGACACACCCGCCATCCCCTGTCACCCTCGACACACCCGCATCCCGTCACCCTCGACACACCCGCCATCCCCTGTCACGCTCGGACACACCCGCCATCCCTGTCACCCTCGACACACCCGCCATCCCCTGTCACCCTCGACACACCCGCCATCCCCTGTCACCCTCGACACACCCGCCATCCCCTGTCACCCTCGACACACCCGACATCCCCTGTCACCCTCGACACACCGCAATCCCCTGTCACCCTCGACCACACCGACATCCCCTGTCACCCATCGACACACCCGCCATCCCCTGTCACTCTCGACACACCCGACATCCCTGCCACCCTCGACACACCCGCCATCCCCTGTCACCCTCGACACACCCGCCACCCCTTGCCACCCACGACACACCCACATCCCTGCCACCCTCGACACACCCGCCATCCCCTGCCACCCTCGACACACCCGACATCCCTGCCACCCTCGACAACAACCCGACATCCCCTGCCACCCTCGACACACCGCCAACCCCTGCCACCCTCGACAACACCCGACATCCCCTGCACCCACGACACACCCAACATCCCTGCCACCTCGACACACCCGCCATCCCCTGCCACCCTCGACACAACCCGCCATCCCCTGCCACCCTCGACACACCCGACATCCCCTGCCACCCTCGACACACCCGCCATCCCCTGCCACCTCGACACACCCGCCATCCCTGCCACCCTCGACACACCCGCCATCCCTTGCCACCCTCGACACACCGCCATCCCCTGCCACCCTCGACACACCCGCCATCCCCTGCCAACCCTCGACATCACCCGCCATCCCCTGCCACCCTCGACACACCCGCCATCCCCTGCCACCCTCGACACACACCAGACATCCCTGCCACCCTCGACACACACCGCCATCCCCTGCCACCCTCGACACACACCCGACATCCCCTGCCACCCTCGACACACCCGCCAACCCCTGTCACCCTCGACACACCCGACATCCCCTGCCACCCTCGACACACCCGCCATCCCCTGCCACCCTCGACACACCAGACATCCCCTGCACCCTCGACCACACCCGCCAACCCCTGCCACCCTCGACACACCCGCCATCCCCTGCCACCCTCGGCACACCGCCATCCCCTGCCACCCTCGACACACCCGCCATCCCCTGCCACCCTCGACACACCCGACATCCCCTGCCACCCTCGACACACCCGCCATTCCCCTGCCACCCTCGACACACCCGCCATCCCCTGCCACCTCGACACACCCGACATCCCTGCCCCCTCGACACACCGCCATCCCCTGCCACCCTCGACACACCCGCCATCCCCTGCCACCCTCGACACACACCGCCATCCCCTGCCACCCTCGACACACACCCGACATCCCCTGCCACCCTCGACACACCGACATCCCCTGTCACCCTCGACACACCTACATCCCCTGCCACCCTCGACACACCCGCCATCCCCTGCACCCTCGGCACACCCGCCATCCCCTGCCACCCTCGACACACCCGCCATCCCCTGCCACCCTCGACACACCCGCCATCCCCTGCCACCCTCGACACACCCGCCATCCCCTGCCACCTCGACACACCCGACATCCCCTGCCACCTCGACACACCCGCCATCCCCTGCCACCCTCGACACACCCGCCATCCCCTGCCACCCTCGACACACCCGCCATCCCCTGCCACCCTCGACACACACCCGACATCCCCTGCCACCCTCGGACACACCCGACATCCCCTGTCACCCTCGACACACCGACATCCCCTGCCACCCTCGACACACCGACATCCCCTGCTACCCTCGACACACCCGCCATCCCCTGCCACCCTCGACACACCGCCATCCCCTGCCACCTCGACACACCCGCCATCCCCTGCACCCTGGACACTCCGGCCATCCCCTGTCACCCTCGACACACCCGCCATCCCCTGCCACCCTGGACACTCCCGCCATCCCCTGCCACCTCGACCACCCGCCATCCCCTGCCACCCTCGACACCACCCGCCATCCCCTGCCACCTCGACACACCCGCATCCCCTGTCCACCCTCGACACACCCGCATCCCCTGCCACCTGGACCTCCCCGCCATCCCTGCCACCCTCGACACACCCGCCATCCCCTGCCACCCTCGACACACCCGCCATCCCCTGCCACCCTCGACACACCCGCCATCCCCTGCCACCCTCGACACACCCGCCGTCCCCTGTCACCCTCGACACACCCGCCATCCCCTGCCACCCTGGACACTCCCGCCATCCCCTGCCACCCTCGACACACCCGCCATCCCCTGCCACCCTCGACACACCCGCCATCCCCTGCCACCCTACCTTCGTGAATACGTGTTCAGTTCCATTCCGCCTTATTGTGAATTATGTTTTGATCTTTTAAATACCATATCTTGTATCTGCCAAGTAATCATGGCACCCAGTAGGCCTACCAGTGTTGCTGAAAGTGCCAAGAAAAGGTATAAGCATTTAAATCTTAGAGTTAACGAAGAAAATAGAGATATTAGACAAGCGATAACCTGTGGCTGTAATGAAGCCTCACTTTGTGCAATTAATAAGAATGAGGTAAATATATAAGTTTGTGTGATGAATAACTGACTTCACTAACTGACTTCACTAACTGACTTCACTAACTGACTTCACTAACTGACTTCACTGACTTCACTAACTGACTTCACTAACTGACTTCACTAACTGACTTCACTGACTTCACTAACTGACTTCACTAACTGACTTCACTAACTGACTTCACTAACTGACTTCACTAACTGACTCACTTGACTGACTGACTTGACTGACTTACTTTACTGGCTGACTAGACTGATTTACTGAATGACTGACTTAAAGTTAGACTTTCTCACTGAAGAGGACCCTGAAACGGTGTCTAGAGCAGCTGATGCCTTACCATCAATGTATAATATACTGCAGGCTAAAATAGAACAGAAATCCATTACATAATTTATGCACACTCCAGTAAAACCGTTGATTTTAGTACCAGAACCTCAACTATCCACCTCAGCCTAGTAGAGCCACAACATAACTCTCTTCACAATCATCCACAAACACCAACACCCACAATTTAAGGTAATAACTACTATTATTTCTGTTGCATTTGTAGTCTTAAGCAGAAAAAACAACTTAATACATCAGGACAATGAACTATAATTACCTATTCACTTTTATTTTTATAAGATCTGAAGATCTAAAATAAAATTTCGCCATTTTTGTGGGTCACAGGAACGTAACCTTATTTTTCCTGTAAGTTCTTCAGTTTATCTAACACTGATTTACCTAAGATGTCATTTTCACAGGAACGTAACCTTATTTTTCCTGTAAGTTCTTCAGTTTATCTAACACTGATTTACCTAAGATGGCATTTTAAGGAAGTACCGTGTAATATAACGTCTACTCTATATTCAAAATTTGTGGCCTAAATTTCTTAGGAACTACCAGTCTGTCTAATTTTGGAGTTCTCCCTCTCTCCTTATCAGTCTCAGAGCAGAACATTATCTTAGGTTTAATTTCATATTTAACTGGGTGATCTGTGTGGGATTCACCCATGCTCCCTGAAAAGTAAAGTTTAAGGAAGGAACTCTTCGTTGTTCTTGCCGAAAGAGCAGTCCCCCGGGCATGGAACAGAGATATCTGGCAATCCTGCAACCCTGGAATAGAAAGGCTTGATCTGGGACTTTTCATTAGATTTACGAGGTCCTGGCCAGTTTTCCTCGTAAAATAATTTGTCTTGCCCTAGATCTGAGTCGTCCAAGGATGGAGCAGCATTCTCGACAGACATTCCTTTTGATTTTTGCCCGAGTTATGGCCAACATCGTAGAATTATTAGTGACTTTAGGTTCTGGGCATTTCATAGACTTCAGTATGTTATTGCCTACTAATAACATGACTTTGTGATATTATTCATACCAAATTAAAGGTTGAAGCAATTATGGCTCACCAAACTGAGGTATCTCCCGCTACAGGAGCTATTAATTGCCGATCTTCACTTAGATTCCTTCGTAATGTGGGAGGGTTAACATCAGACCAATCACACCAGTAGTCTCGTGAAGCAGGTGGTACACTGGGTTTGTCTCTGTGGGTGTCAGCTTGAGTTGGCTAAACTCAATCTTGAAACAACCAGAGTGCAACGTGCATTTGCAAAACAAGAATTTGATAGAGAGAAGGAGAGTAGGCATTTTAAGCAGACTGTTGGTGACAAGTTGAGCATGCAAAAAGCAGTGCCATTAGTATCTCGCTTTTGAGTATGAACCTGAACAGTTTCTCGAGGAATTTGAAAACCAGTCTGGTGCAGTGAGGTGGCCTTGGGAGCCCAGGGCAGCACTGGTGTATACAGCGTTGAACGGCAAAGTGCACGATTTTGCTGATTATCAGGTTGCTAAATCAATGGTTCTTGGGGCATATCAGTGTACTCCCGCCAAGTACAGGAGGGAATTCAAATTACGCGAGTGTCAGCTGCGTCAGTCTCACGTAGACTTTGTAAGGCAGCAGTCAAAAAATTTCACAAAATGATACAAGAAGAGTGGTGTCGCCAACTTCTCCGACTTAGTGCAGTTACTTATGGACAACCTGCTGGAATCTGTTGGACCAGAGGTTAGAGTCTTTCTTGAAAATCATTCAATGATCACTGAATTAGAAGTAGCCAGGCTGGCTGCTTCTAATAACGCAGCCAACCACTCCTTGTTCAAGCGGTCTAATCTTTCTTCCCAACAGCCTGGTGTGAAGAGAGACCGTCATGGACGAGTCCCTGACTGGAGGACGAAGTGGCAGGCTGAAAGTGAACAACGACACCAACAAACTAAGTCGTCTGGTGATCAACGACATCAATCTCGCTACCAACCTGGTTAACAACGACGTCAGTACCCCGAGTGGCCCCAGCCACAAAATCAACAGGGAGCCAAATTAAAGTATGAGGTAACCTGTTATCATTGTCACAAACCAGGCCATGTAAACTTCAACTGCCCAATTAAGCCCCAGCCCATAGAGAAAATCAGCATCCTCCCTTTCAAGATGAACCAGAAAGAAGTTGAGTATGGTATGGCCCCACACTACAGTACTTGCCACATCTCTCCCCAAGAGAATGAAAAGAAAAATGAAGTAACCACTTTTAGGGATGACTGAGCTTATTGTTCCCTTATAAAAGAGAGAGCACTTCCCGTCTCTGAAAACATGCCATTGCAATCCTCCGTTCTCTTAGAAGCATTTGAAGGAGCTGTATTTTCTGTCCCTTTATGTAAGATATATGTGCTGAGTAAATATTATATAGGATATTTGACTGTAGGTGTTTCTGAGGGATTCCCTATGGAAGATGCCGTGTTATTGCTGGGTAATAACATTTTTAATTCGACAAAATGTCCAGAACCTATAGTGACTAATACTTCTCCGAAGTCAGCCATAACTCGGGCAAAATCCCATGAGATGCCTGTCGACAATGCTGCTCCATTCTTGGATGACTCAGATCATGGGCTAGACAATTTGTTTTACGAGGAAAACTGGCCAGAGCCTCGTAAATTTAGTGAAAAGTCCCAGATCAAGTCTTCCTACTCCAGGGTTGCAGGATTTCCATATATCTCTGTTTCCATGCCCGAGGGAATGTCCTTTCGGGAAGAACAGCGAAGAGATCCTTCCTTAAATTTCGCTTTTCAGGCAGCCATGAGTGAATCCCACTCAGATCACCCAGTCAAATATGAAATTAAATACAACTTACTACTCTGCACAGAAACTGGTAAGGAGGTAGGAGGAAGCACGAAATTAGATAGACTGGTAGTTCCTAAGAAATTTAGGTCACAAATTTTGAACATAGCTGATAATTCCTCTTTAGGAGGTCATTTGGGAATTACAAAAACCTTTTATAGAATATTTAAAGAGTTTTACTGGCGAAAAATAAGGCAAGATGTGAAGAATCACATCTGCTCTTGTAAGGAATATCAACAAGTAGGTAAACCTGGACACCCCCATCAAACCTGCTCCTCTTCTTCCCATACCAGCAGATGGAGAACCGTTTGCAGAGCTGATCATTGACTGTGTGGGACCATTACCAAAATGAAAGCCAGGGAATCACTACCTATTCACTGTCATGGATAAAGCTACTAGGTATACGGAAGCAGTCCCAATGCACAATATAAACACTAAAGCCATTCTTAGTCATAACTAAATTTATAACTTCGGTATTTCAAAGTCTCTCCAGAGTGACCAGCGTACTAACTTTACAGCCAAAGCTTTTAGAGAAGTTTTAACTAGGCTAAGTACAATTTTCCTACAGAATGGGATGAATCACTTCCTCTGTTGCTGTTCGCATTGAGAGAAACTGTGCAGGATCCACAGGGTACAGTCCATTTGAGCTAATCTTCCAGCACAATGTACGAGGTTCTCTGCGAGTGCTCAAGGAAGGATGGATTGCAGAAGATGTCTGGAACGCACTCTACAACCCTTCTTCAAGGTTGCAGGTGGCCTGTCAGTTGTCTAAGGCTAACTTAAAATCTGCTCAAAACACTATGAAACAGAGGTATAACAGAAAGGCAAAGTTTCGCGCCATCATTCCAAGAGACAAGGTGCTGGTGTGGGAACCTGTACCTGGCCACACTTTAAAAGCTAGATTTATGGGACCAGTGCAAATAATAAGTAAAATTTCTGATGTGAATTATGTGACAGCTCCCCTTGATAAACCCACGAAAAGTAAAATTTACCACATAAATCAGATTAACATGTTTAATAGTCCACATAAAGACCCAGTAATGACTGTCCTCTGCCTCTGTAGACAGCCTGATTCCTTGTACACATTCTAGAAATTAAAGTTAAGCTTTCTAATTATGTCCTCCTCAGGGACCCTAGCCCATTAATGTCCCCTCAGGGACCCTAGCCCTTTAATGTTGGCGCTTTTTAGTTAAATATCGAATAATAAGCCTAACTACCCTCTTACAAATTTTCCCAGACATATTTTCGGATATCCCGAAAAAACGTACCCTGGGATATCATGATGTAGACGTTAGAAACACTAAGCTTAAACAAAGAAGAATGGTGAAGATCAGGACTTTGAGGTAATCAGTCTCTCAGCCTGGAGTTGATGATTCAAGATTGATGGACTGATTACATCGACTCTAGGCTAAGGGACTGTTTACCTCAAACTCCTTCTGATCTTCACCATTCTTCTTTGTTTAGGACTGATGAAGCCACTGTGTGGCGAAACGTGTCCACAATAAAGATACCCAAGTGTTGCACATGTGTCTAATTCATCAAGTTGTCGGTTCTCTGAACCGTTTATCTACACAAATAAATATACTTCTTTATTCTTCGTCTTTGTTCTTGTTTGTAACCTGATCACAACGCGACAAGAATATTCTTTAACATAGGAATTAAACTATCAGTGTATAAACACCGTGAATATTTACATCTCTCTGTGTATATTATTTAACTTATGTGTTGACGTTTAGTGTCATCTCTCTGAAATTGTGAAATACATTTAATTATGTTATTTGCTTTAGGAATAATTTAAGTTCAGACGTTGTTTGCCGTAAGGTGAATTGTAAACAATTTAGTGTTTACCCCAGAAAAAAATATAGGGTGAGATTCTCAATATATAAACAAAAACATTGAAGGAAGAAAAAACTAGGGAACCATTATGAGGCGCCTCGTCAACTGGACGTGTCTAGTAGGAGCCTCTCTCTTCCTCAGGTACATCACTGATCCTGCCAACGCATCTCGTCTCCTTAAACCTATTCGTGACGACATAACTTTTGTTATTTTCCCCTCGAATCCGACTTCTCTTAGCGACACTGATAATGATGAGTTCCTAAAATAATAACTCACCCTTAATATTGATAAAATATGATGTTTGGAAACAGAGCTAGAAATATCGTAACTAAATATAATGATCAATGAATCTCCCATTGTAAGACACACTGAGCGTAAATTCTTGGGTCTGCACCTTGAATGCAACTTGAAGTTTATTACCTACATCCAACACATAACTTAGGTCTCCAAAACAGTAGGCATCATCTAGATACATCAACTATACCTCAATGGAAATATAAACACATATGCAGTTTAATGTGATCCTTTATTGACACCGTTTCGCCCACACTGTAGGCTTTTTCAAGTCACAAACAGATCTACCTGGGGTGGAAGGTACGTGAGTATTTATAGTCAGGTTCAGAATGTTGAGGTCAGGTGGAGAATGCTGTATCTGATCATCTTCCGGGTGGGGTTATGGAGTCTAAAATCTTGGAGTAGCTTGGCAGGGGTATTGGACAAGTTGTGAGCAGACCTTCTGCAGTGTTCTATGTTCTTATGTGGGATAGCGATGAAGAAGTTTCTTGGCAAGTGGTTCAGCTATGTTATAGAAGCCATTGTTCTGTTGAAATTGTTGGATATAGAGATAAGCGATGATTCCAGGATTCTTCGGTATTGAGTGTTGTCTTCTGTGGCGATAAGTCTTGAGTTTCTGTAGTTAATTAAATGGTTGTGTGAATTGCGATGTTGTACACAGGCATTCCTTGTATTGTCAGTCCTGCTTGCGTATTGGTCTTCTGAAATACGTGTTTGGAGGTCTCTTGATGTTTCGCCCACGTATAATTTGTTGCAGTCATTACAAGGGATCATGTATACCCCTGCAGCTTGTCCTGTCTACTACTGGTGATGTCCTTGATGGTCGTGGTTGTGGAGGTAGATACTTGGAATGATGTATTGGAAAAGATGTTGGAAACATGTTTGGCAATGGAGTTGGTGGGGAGGACTATGTATCTCTTCTCGGCAGTGTCTTCTCTGGGTGTCTTGAAGATGTTTAACTCCCCCGCGGCCCGGTCCACGACCAGGCGTAACTGATTACATATCTTATCCCATTTTCTTGGTATTGTAATCTAAACACGTTGTTGTATCCTCATTACTATTCAATCACTCCACAAAACTGAAGAATCAATTTAAATATGTAATTCTTTTATGACTGACTATTGTCATTACCATTCTAACTGCCCTTCTGACTGTAGTTAACTGCACGAGAAGTGTTGCATAATAGACTATGTCTAATTCTTAAGTAACATTAAACCTTTATGATTACTTGCTCGGAATACATTGTATAATTATTGGCTTTATTTGTGTCTACTATTGTATTAATACATCTATACCACAGCTTAAACAAATTAACATTATTATCAGGAAAACTGAAATATGTCTATGTAATCTAATTCAAACGTTACAATGTTAAAGGGATACATATTCCAGGTATACCTGCATGGTGGCCTCCCAAGAGAAGTAAATTATGGGATACCAACGCTAACGTAAGGTATTTAGGCGTTTATCTGCTGTAATCTGAGAAGGTTGATCAGCAGGCAGCTGGTAAGAGAACACTCAGTCTCAAGACAACCTCTCATTAGCGTGTTTACAGCATCAAGCGATGACAATAAGTACAGTCATTACCAATAAACATATCTTTAGAAATGCATTGGTTAACTTAGCATACTCAGAAACGCTTGGCTATCAGTTGTTGCTAAAGTTGATGCTGAGTACCATGTACCCTGGTATCAGGCTGTCAGTTGTTGCTAAAATTAGTGAATAGCTGGCAGAGAGGCGCTGGCCGTCAAGGCTCGTTGACACTGACACAATTATAATTAACATTACTGATAACTTAATAGATTTTTTTGTATCTACTTTTCTAGTAAGGATTAAGTTGTTAAACTACGCTAGAAGACATGAACTTATCGATTAACTACAGATGATAATGGCCATAAATAAATTAAATTTCGGCTGCTACATTGTCAAGAGGTATAAAAGCTTGCACACTTATCAGCTTAATTTTATTGCCAGGAAGCTTTGCTTCTGCAGTAATGTATAACTGTAGAGAATTTACCATCAGCTCGTCTTCAGAGAATAAAAGCTACAAGACAATAGACTACACTACGGGCACTTTGTTTACAGTCGCGAGGTCAACATAGACATCCGCAAGTGAGATGTGGTCAGTGCTGCAACAAGCTTAGCAACATTAGCGTCCGCAGAAGCTGTGCGCTGCATTGTGCAACTGTCACTCCAAATTATGCGTCACAGCAGGGATCCAAAAGCACTGTTAACAACATGGTCACAGCCTCAGATAATATAGCTATGCATAGGTCAAGCAGGGCCAGGGAGGGAGGGTATTTCCACACATGGTAGGGTGGAGCTTCGTACGTTATCATAATGTCCGTACCTAATAATAATGTCCGTACGTAATGATAACTTTCGTACATAATAATTGATTTTATTGTTTATATTTGTAATGAATAAATCATGTTGGTGTTATATCTATTGACATGAAGATTATATTATCCTCTGAGACAGCAGTGTCCAGGGTGTGTGTACAACACTGTTCACTGAGACAGCAGTGTCCAGGGTGTGTGTACAACACTGTTCACTGAGACAGCAGTGTCCAGGGTGTGTGTACAACACTGTTCACTGAGACAGCAGTGTCCAGGGTGTGTGTACAACACTGTTCACTGAGACAGCAGTGTCCAGGGTGTGTGTACAGCACTGTTCACTGAGACGCAGTGTCCAGGGTGTGTGTACAACACTGTTCACTGAGACAGCAGTGTCCAGGGTGTGTGTACAACACTGTTCACTGAGACAGCAGTGTCCAGGGTGTGTGTACAACACTGTTCACTGAGACAGCAGTGTCCAGGGTGTGTGTACAACACTGTTCACTGAGACAGCAGTGTCCAGGGTGTGTGTACAACACTGTTCACTGAGACAGCAGTGTCCAGGGTGTGTGTACAGCACTGTTCACTGAGACAGCAGTGTCCAGGGGTGTGTACAACACTGTTCACTGAGACAGCAGTGTCCAGGTGTGTGTACAGCACTGTTCACTGAGACAGCAGTGTCCAGGGTGTGTGTCAACACTGTTCACTGAGACAGCAGTGTCCAGGGTGTGTGTACAACACTGTTCACTGAGACAGCAGTGTCCAGGGTGTGTGTACAACACTGTTCACTGAGACAGCAGTGTCCAGGGTGTGTGTACAACACTGTTCACTGAGACAGCAGTGTCCAGGTGTGTGTACAACACTGTTCACTGAGACAGCAGTGTCCAGGGTGTGTGTACAACACTGTTCACTGAGACAGCAGTGTCCAGGGTGTGTGTACAACACTGTTCACTGAGACAGCAGTGTCCAGGGTGTGTGTACAACACTGTTCACTGAGACAGCAGTGTCCAGGTGTGTGTACAACACTGTTCACTGAGACAGCAGTGTCCAGTGGTGTTACAACACTGTTCACTGAGACAGCAGTGTCCAGGGTGTGTGTACAGCACTGTTCACTGAGACAGCAGTGTCCAGGGTGTGTGTACAGCACTGTTCACTGAGACAGCAGTGTCCAGGCTGGGTGTAAAGCACTACACTGAGACAGCAGTGATGACACAACATACACCTGATACAACATACACATGACATGACACAACATACACATGATACAACATACACATGACATGACACAACATACACATGATACAACATACACATGACATGACACAACACACAAGTTACAACATACATATGATACAACATACACATGACACAACATACACATGACACAACATACACATGATACAACATACACATGTCGTACGAGGAAAGGTTAAGGGAAATCGGACTGACGACACTGGAGGACAGAAGGGTCAGGGGAGACATGATAACGACATACAAGATACTGTGGGGAATAGACAAGGTGGACAGAGATAGGATGTTCCAGAGAGGGGACACAGGGACAAGGGGTCACAACTGGAAGCTGAAGACTCAGACGAGTCACAGGGACGTTAGGAAGTATTTCTTCAGTCATAGAGTTGTCAGCAAGTGGAATAGCCTAGCAAGTGAAGTAGTGGAGGCAGGAACCATACATAGTTTTAAGAAGAGGTATGACAAAGCTCAGGAAGCAGAGAGAGAGAGAGGACCTAGTAGCAATCAGTGAAGAGGCGGGGCCAGGAGCTGAGTCTCGACCCCTGCAACCACAATTAGGTGAGTACAATAGTGAAACACATGACTACACAACATGCACATGACACAACACTACTACATGACATACAACATGCACTGACACAACATACACATGACACAATATGCACATGATACAACATGCACATGACACAACATACACATGACACAATATGCACATGATACAACATGCACATGACACAACATATACATGACACAACATACACATTACAATATACATATGTTCCAAAATACACATGATACAACATACACATGATACAACATACACATGATACGA